ACCGCCGCACCACAGACAAATCGACAAACGTACCAAATTTCGCGGCATAAGGCACTATCCGGTAACCCCACCACCTCTGCGGCTGTCCCCGGCACTGTCGTGCCCACTACAACTTCCATTTCGCCGGGTCCTTTTTTGTTCGCCCGATTTTCATCTCCATTTCAAGACTTTCACACTCCTACCTAGAGACGGTGGTGTATATAATGTGTGTACATTGAGGAAATCCCTGGAAACCGGTGTTCCTGCACCGTGCCGTGTAATTATACCTGCCTACCTACCTGCGGCGCACCCGATAATTTGGTGCCCTTTGGGGATTTCAAACCCGTAGATCGCGCCCTGCCTGTCGGAAGGCGATGGCGGCGCACGAATCGATGGCGGCAAGGTGGCGGGGTACACGGCAATCCCGGTCGTCATCCGAATTTGATAGGATTTGATGCCCATTGAAATCCAATGATTTATTCTGAAGATTTTGACAGGTGATTCATGGGCTGCCACTGAATAAGCAGATCAATGGAATCCAATGATTTTCCCGATGGATTTCGACGAATCAATCGTCAGAATCTCAATGGCTTACCTTGACTGGGTACGAAACTTCATTCCTTCTCCAACTTTATGCCCACAACGGTAGCCAGTTATAATTCTTGATGAGTTCTTCTGCTTGCTAATAAATAGAGACCCCGCAACCAACCCGCAACGGCATACACTGATGATTACACATACCAATCAGTAATGTCTGTGCAATGCAACTGCGGGGATTCGGAAGCAGGTGCCCTCTATCAAGTCTCCCTTTACATTTATTATTTCAGTGATTATTAATGAGGTTCGTCCCTGTGTTGATTGAGGGACGGGAGGGGGCCAGTCATCAGGGACGGGCATAGTCGATTAACACCAATCGGATGGATTAAATATATGGGGCCGGTTCGCGTCGAAACTATGCCGGAGAGGTTACTTGTGTTGTAAATTGTGCTGTCTTCAAAGATTGAAGATGAAGATCACCAGATCGAGCCCCTTGTTGGGAAAAATTTTGCTTAAAATTGTCCCTTTAGCTGGTAAAAGTGACACCATTTTCCCAGAAAAATGGCAAACGTTGGAATCCAATGGGGTACTAATTCAATGGATTTCATATGGCCGCCCATTGGAATCCAACGATCATCAAACCCGTCAAATTCTGATGACTCCCGGGATAGCCGTGTACTTATGCTGTCCACATGCCAGAAGTGACGTTGTGAGCGCGAAACTCAGCCTATGTGACAGTCACCCAACGGAAGATTGGCTCTCACCGGATTCGAACGAAATTTCACAAAGTCGTCGGCAGCGAGGGGAACAAGAAAGTCGACAAGTCGCGCCCGTGGCTGGAACGAAGTTGTATTCCGCTGCCTTCTGTGCCTTATTAAATTGACCGACTTTTCAGCACATCCCTGCCAAACCTGAGGAGAACTGGTGCATTTGGTTTTCTAGCTTCCGTCACCCTTAAATTTTCATCTACGACTCGTTCCCACTTTGATCTATTTGTGCTTAATCTCTCGTAGACAGACGCTACAAATATCGATGCTCATACCTCCGAGTCTTTGTAATTTGTGCTTAGGGACAGCGAGCGAACGGATCCCGCATGCCGATCCCATGCCAGAGATTGATCGCTCGCTGGTAACCAACACGTCCTATGTCTGTGGTTTCGTCTGTTGTTCTCTTCACTAACAATTAGTGATGTGCGGGTCGGGTCGAGCTTGGGCTTGGGCCCGGGCTTGACTGTACTCTTTTGCTCCTCGCCTTCAAGTAAGTTTTGGGGGAGATTCAGTGGTTCTTTATATGATTGCTCACTGTAAGTCTCATTCTGGCAATTTTTAAAACCCTCACAGCCAGTTATTCTTCAACTCTGATGTTCACATCAGTCCATCAAAATGGTTCAGCCTACTATCGCGGCGTACCAAGCCACATTAAAGCTACATTAAAGGTGAGAAGCTGAAAGACATGTTGTATTTCAGTTCACCAATGTTGAATTGCCTCGAACTTATCCTTTCCTTTCAAAAATGTGATCCAGAGTGGGACTCCCTGAGGCCCGGGCTCAAGCCCGGGTCGCAGGTCGGGAAAAATTGTGGGCCCGACCCAAGCCCGGGCTTGGGCTTCAGGCCCGACCCGGCACATCACTACTAAAAAATCATTAACGGCGCCGTACTCGATCTGAAATTATACCTCGTGGAAGCACCGTCTCACCGCGATCTTCTACCCAGCTTTGGACGTGGGCCAGTATGTCTTCCATGATTCCGCGACGGCTCACGGGGCTCGCACTTGCCAATCATCACCACCGAAAATCCGCGGCTGTAGGTCAATTTTCTTTCGGCAAAATTTTACAAGCTGACATGACTTGTATTTTATTTAGCGCTCTCGTCTTGCTTCATGACACAAACGGAACCAGGTATGCATTGGCGAGTTCCTCAAGCTTGACATTGTCCAACGCACAATGTGTGTGTCCCCGCCGCACCAGTGTACATCAGGCTAACTATCTACCAGCAATTTCATTTCATTTCAAGTTCCATTATAGTGCGCGCGGGCCCCTCGGGGCCTCTACGAATTACAGGGAATAATCTAGCGGGCGTGGAGGGGTAAATAAGGGAGGGGGCAAGGATGGGGGACTTCGGAGTAAGCTACGAGGGGAGTATTGAGTTTGGGGCTGGGCGGTAAAACAAGTCTAAGTATCTAAGTACAATCATAGCCGGCGGCTATTTCTACAACTTTCGATGCACCCATGGAAAGCCTCATAAACATAGATCTGTCGATCCCAAAACAAATATCGGCATATTGCAGTGGACCAGAGGTGTGCGGACAAAGAAAGGCCGCGATTCAGCATAATGCTGTGTATTCCGAGAATATGTTTGCTAGGGGAATTCCTCAGAGGCAGATGAAAGATCATCAATCATCGGTGGGAGTCGCCGGGAGCCCTGAAAGGAAGCAAGCAGTCGGTTGCCGCTGAAGATTCAAGCTGACAAGCATGCATTGTTGAGAGGATACAGAGAAATGGATACAAAAATAAGTGGTAAACCAGCCGTATGAAACGGCGGAATCGTACGCAACATTGAGAAAAATACACAGGAGAAAGCAGGGGGAGAGTCAAAGGATTGCAGGGATAGAAAGCAAGTGGGAAGTGCGCCGGCGGATGGGGAAGAAAATGAAAGAGAACGATGATGGGACACAAAAGAGATGATGGGCGAGGTACGAGCGAGGGAGGGTTGGAGGAGAAACACAGTGACGATCCAGCGAAGCAGTGACGATCCAGCAAAGGAAGGATAGACGGGGACGGAGAAATAAGCGAGGGGGACACGATCGATGAGGATGAGGCTGGGAGAGAGGACACGAAACGCGCGCGCAGGGCGAGGAGGAAAGGAGGGGTGCAAGGAGATGGGAATGGGAATGGGGGATGAACAGAATCACGGCATTCGCAGGAGGACGACGGGACGACGGGGCACAGCGGGTGTGTATGGTGTGTGGGTGAATCGGCTGGAGATATATGGACAGTGCAGGGAGCGAATAAACCGCGGGCGAGCGTTGCTGGGATGGATTGGAGAGGCGCTGCACTGCGCAGTGGGGACGCGGAGGGTAGGAAGAACGCGGGTGAGGGCACTCGATGGGGGTGATTAATCGCATGACACTCGGAAGGGGACGGGCGGATGGAGAGACAAAAGGGAGAGGGTAGAACAGCAGGGACCGGGCGGGCGAGTGCAGGGGAACGAAACAAAGATACGATATCGAAGGAAGGCAGGGTGAACGCAAAGAAAGAGAGAAAACAGTACACACCGTACTTAATCGCCTCCCACTCGTTTTTTTCCCCCGGTCCCATAACCCCACCCCGCGCACCCCCGCCCCCCTCCGGCGGCACCAGATGCACGTCCCACAGTTGCTGCTTCTGCCACGAATCGATCGCCGCCTCGAGCATGCGGCTGTGGCTCCGCCGCAGCAGCAGCGAGCGCACGACGATCGTGGAGGAGATGCTGAGGAGCAGGATCAGCGTCGCGAGGAAGGTGTGGACTGCGAAGACGTGTATTAGTGTTATTATTATCGAGACAGAGATAGCGAGGAAGTGGGAAGTGGGAAAGAGGGAGGGAAACGGAGGCGCACGGTAGAGCTTCGCGGACCCGCCGGGCCAGCCAACGCCCCGTCCGTCCTGCGCGCCGAAGCCGCCGGGTCCGCTGGTGTCAGTGGGCAGCGGCGGCGCGCTGAAGGACGTGAAACCAAAGTCGGTGTTCGTGCTGCTGTTGTTCGCGCTGCTCGTCTCTGTTGCGGACGCCGAGGGAGATGTAGAGGAGGGTTAGCGTGAGGAGCGGTGGGTCGATGAGGTGGACATGGTGCGCGGAGACGTGCAAGATTATGATAACAACTTGAAGCGGTCGGTCGTTATGAATTCGAACAGAAGCCCGCTAGTTTATTCGGTTTATGCGGATTTTCACGAGGACGAAGGGATTCGTCGTCGTCGTCGTCGGCGGCGGTAGCAGCAGCGACGGTACGATGATGGGAGAAGGAAACAAAGAAAATCGGGACAAAAGGACTGTCAGGCTTCCCCGTGATATACAGCGTGATCCGGTGATCACCGTTTGATCGCCGGCTCTCTCCTTGTTCAGCACCTCCAGCTTGCAGCTTTCAATTGTCTAGACGCTCCTCGAGCCTTCTGCGCATTCTGACTCTCTCCAATTTCCACTTTCAAGGTTGCCAAAATTTTAGCTACTCTCCGGACTAGGAAAATATCACCGCGGTGGACAGTGCTGCGGAGCTCCGACGCCGTGCGAACTACATACTCCAATTCTCTCGCACGCCACCGAGCTGGGAACACACAAATTCAAGCAGCATGGTGTATTGTGCATACGGGGTATTCATAGTCGCTTGCCAGACGACCTTCACCCCGAGGTCCTTGTTCGAATCAAGGTGCTTCCCTGGTTCTCCTGCCCCACTTTTTTTATTCTTCAGTGCATACAAGTTTGTAGCACCCCACCCACAAGAAACGGGGTAAGTCCAGCAGTGTGGTGTATTGCGCACACGGGGTTTTGGAGAACAAAATTACACCCCGAGGTCCTTGTTCGAATCAAGGTACTGCTTTGCTGGAGTGTTCGCGCGAAGATTTTTTACCTCAGCTGCCACAATTTCCCAGCACCTCACCGCCCGCAAAACAGGATAAAGAAAGCAGTGTGGTGTATCGTGCACACGGGGGGTTTATTCCTGTGTACAAACAGTATTCTCTCCGAGGTCCTTGTTCGAACCAAGGTGCTCTTCATCTATATTCTACCAGATTACAGATTCACTTTTGATTCTTCAGCTCATACGGTTTGTATAGCACCCTACCACCTGCAAAACATGCAAAACAGAGTAAATAAAGCATGGTGTATTGCGCACACGGGGTTTCTATATACTGCCCGAGCATCAGAATTGACCCTGAGGCTCGAACCAAGGTGCTGCTCTGAGTGGTTGTCATCATTTTTATTCCGCACCTCCAACAATTTGTAATACACCACCACCCACAAAACAGGGTAAGTAAAGCAGCATGGTGTATTGTGCACACGGGGTATCCTTTCGAGGTATATAGGGGTTGTTCACCCCGAGGTCCTTGTTCGAATCAAGGTGCTGCTCTTTGATATTGGCATCGCGTGTTTTTTGTTTCGCCCCCAGTCAAGGCATCCGCGAATGTGGAGCATTTCTCCAAGTGAGAAGCAAGACAATTAAAGTAGTATGGTGTATTGCGCACATGGGGTTCACCTGCATTGTGCGCGGTGGTATATTATCCCCGAGGTCCTTGTTCGACTCAAGGTACTGCTCTAGGTTGGCCGGCGGGCCTCGTTGTTTTCTCTCTCACTCTCCGCGCACAAATCCTGTAGCATTCATCCAAGTGTAAATCAGGGTATATCAAGCAGTATGGTTTGTTGAGCACACGGGTTCGCATAAATTATCCGCCCGGAAGTACTATCCCCCGAGGTCGTTGTTCGAATCAAAGTGCTGTGTCTGGGTCTTTTGCTAGTTTTCTCCAGCGCACTGAATTTTCTGGGTCTCACTCGCTGAAGACGGGGTAAATTCAGATAGGGAGTATTGCACACCTCTTAACGATAAAATGAGGATATTTTTGCCCTCAGTCCGCAGAATTCTCTCATTCTTTAGTGGGCTCTGAACACGGGGAATAAATAAAGCGGCATGGTGCATTGCACACAAATTTTCAGTAAATTTAAGTACTGTGGTGAAAGCAGAAGTTCACCCCGCAAGTCCTTGTTCGAATCAAGGTGCTGCCGTGAGGTCAAGGAGTGGATCTTTTTTTCTTCAGTGCACTTATTTTTTTTACATTTCGTCGGCGGAAGAGAAGTTCGCGTTCCGGTGTTTAGTAATAGTTCCGACAAGACACTCGATGACCATGGCCAGGATTGTAAAATGAGTATCTGTCCCGTAGTCTGCAAACCAGAATAGGGGCACTGAGTTGGGCAAATTTTAATCGGCGGGGTAGTTCCAGCTGCAAATGAGGCGTGCAATTTTCCGAGAGCGTGTCTGAAGGGTCGCACTCAGGCTTGAATAGTTGTCGAGTTTCCGCCGCACCCCTGAGTCCAAATCGGGAGTTTTGATGGCGGCAAGCTTCGGCAATCGCTGGACGGCAGGCTCGGCATCCCGATAACAAGTCCTTGCAATGAAGTTCCCACAGACGCTCTTCAGGCATTGGCTCTTGTGAGATATATGCTATAATTTGCATGAGAAACATTTCACTAGGCATTTTGTGGCGTCCACGAAGAATGCCGAGCTGAGATGCCCGGTTCGGCAGACCCCGGGTTCCCGAGCGCTTGGTGTGCAATAAAGGCCACCCTGTCCAATCGCCATCGGCTCGTTCGCGCTTTCTCCCGAAATTCTCGTATTTGCAGGCCTGGCGGGGACAAGAGATTTTTTGGAACTGGCGAAATAACGGTGATTTAGTGGTTTGAACCCAAGACCTCGCAAAAAAAAATGTAATGTTCAGAAGACTGTCATAAACAGCTACACTAAAGGTACATTACCAATTGTCCCTACCGTCCTCCCTTGCTCCTCTCCTGCAGTATAGCCGGCAAACCATTGATCAAGGCTTGATGGCCGCATTCCTGCCGCCCATCAAAATCACCTAATTTGGACACAGGGGTGCGGCGGAATTCTAAGAGTGGGCTTGAATCGCGAAGACCGTTTGAAGACCGTAAGAATTCGTCCGAGCCACAGAAAAGGTATTCTTCAGTTCAGAGCGTTCAGGTTCATTCAGCAGCCCCCCCCCTCCCCGTCACGCGGGTTCGTTCGTAGCGGCACGGCCAGTGAGCAGGAACCGACGCAGAAGGGAAGACAAGCTAAAGACAAGCCGCAAGACGTCATCGGCGTTGATGGCAAACATCATGATGCACAACTTGGATCCCTACCTACCGCACCCAGCCGTGGTCCTGGGATCATGACATATTCTTGGGAGATCTTGGGCGCTTTGTATCTTTCATGGCCGTCCGCCTCCGCCTTTGAATCTTTCCGCCTCCATAGTGCGAATCGGCCGGTCAAACATTGGTCAAACGCGACGACAATCATTTTTACTCCCCACTGAGGTGCCTCCTGGCGAAGGGATGATACAACTCTTCTTCTGCAGGGCTGAGAATCTTGGAGCATCTCGGCCGACCTATTCCACATCCGTGCGGTGGATGTACATGGATCACATCCACGAAGTCCAATTGGCCCTCTGTAACCTTTTCACCCGGACGAGTTCTGTGCGCCGGTATACTTGCTCAAGATTCAAGCGCTTAGAAGAGTTTCGCCAAAATTCTTCCCCGTTTTCCCCAGGCAGCCTGCCGTCCACAGAAAGTGCCTCTCGCCGCCACGGATAATCGTGGAGTTCTGCGATTGTGGAGTATGGAAAGGAGGCTGAATTCTAAGAGCGGGTGAAAGGAAACTGAGGCTGCGCATATCACTGCGTTCCCTGAGGTCCTGCACCTAACCTGTGTGTAGGATTCCTACACAGACCTACACAGACCTACACAGACCTACACACAGAGCTGTGTGTAGTTGTGCTACACACATTGTTTTTAGATCAGAGTAGGTCTGTGTGGGTAATTGTAGGTAATTGTAGGTCCATGCAGGTCAGTGCAGGTATGTGTAGGTCTGCGTAGCAACCTACATTAACCTGGACTATATCCGGTTTAATCCTGAATTGATGCTACAATTCCTGGCGGACATTAAACTCAACCAGCATCAACATTAAACCCCTTGGTGCTGCGGACCATTGGCGAGCTGCTCATGTCTGTCACATAGGTTTGGCAGACTAACTGGTCATCTTTCAATCTGTTCTCTAAAAAATTAGATCCAGTCAGCGTGAAGGTTGGTGCTAACCACGTTGTGGCCTGCATTGGTCTGGGACGGGCCGAGGGGCTAATCAAATTCTCTGGGAAAGTATGTATGAGAGCGAGCGCGAAACAAAGCTTAAAGCTGATGCTCTTAAAATAGCATTGATGCGCTCCGCAGAACGGCGGAAATATGTCCCCCACAGCGAATACACCGCGAAACAATCCGGAGGATAGAATCAAGGCAGTTAATATGTGCTTAGACTCAAGTGTAGGTCAGTGTAGCTGAGTGTAGCCAAGTGTAGGTGAGGCTATGACTTCTAGGCACACCTACGCTGATCTACGCTGATCTACAACAAGGTGTGTTTAGGGAAACTACACAGACCTACGGCACAGCTGCTAGAACCTTCGAAGATATTAGACTAGCTGTGTGTAGTCATCCTACACAGGGCCTGTGTAGTCCCCTACGCTCAGCTAGCAGCAGCTGCTAGAACCTTCGCAAACTGAGTGTAGGAGCGGCCGGAACACAGTGTATATCGCGCATTACCTTCGCTGGGGGTATGAAAGGTGCGCCTCTCAGTTCTCAGTATTTTACCCTGCGATGTTCGATTAATTTGAAGCCAGTTTTGTTTACAGGCTTCTTTTGTCCCACTCGGAGCCCATTGATAGAATTTGATGCAGTAGGCAGCAGGCTCAGAACCGCGCCGATGATGGCCCCGTGATCCTCGGTGAGCGAATCTAATGTAATTTCGACGCGTACCCCGTGCGTTAACGACCACATGAGCCTTGGATGGGGAGATATCGGCAAAACTCCCTTTGCTTCCGTCTTGCTTCGATGTCTCAAATTCCACAGAATGCGATATAAATGCGCTCGGGAAGGCGACATACATACGCGCTGAAAGATGTTCGCTTTGCTCCTCTATCTTCTCGGCACCCTCGCTGCTGCCCTCCCTGCCGCCGCCGCGAACAAAACGCACCTTAACCCAACCATTCCCGGCTGGCACAGCGACCCCAGCTGCATCTTCGTCCCTGAATGGGATGACACTTTTTTCTGCGCGACGTCGACCTTCCTCGTGACGCCCGGCATGCCGATTCACGCCAGCAAAGACCTGGTCCATTGGCGGCTCGCCAGCCACGCGTTGAACCGGCAGAACCAGTGGCCGCACTACAACACGACCGGGCAGAACGACGGCATATTCGCGGTTACGCTGCGTTTCCATGAGGGCGTCTTCTACGCGATCACGTTCTTCGTATCGGACGGGAGCAACCCACTCCCCCCGGGCCTGCTGTTCAAGACGACCAACCCCTTCGACGACGCGGCGTGGAGCGATCCCGTGCTCTTCCAGTCGCCGAACATCGACCCCGATCTCTTCTGGGACGACGATGGCGTGCCATACATGACCGCCGCGCAGAGCATCATCTCCACGATTGATCTGGAGACGGGTGCCCTGGGCCCCGCCACCCAGCTCTGGAACGGCACGGGCGAAACCAACCCCGAAGGCCCGCATATATACAAGAAGGACGGGTGGTACTACCTGCTGATCGCAGAAGGGGGCACGGAGCTCAACCACACGGTCACCATGGCGCGTTCGCGGAGCATCACCGGCACGTATATCGGCTTCGAGGGGAATCCCGTCCTGACGAACAAACACACCGGCGAGTACTTCCAGACCGTGGGGCACGCCGATATATTCCACGACGCGGCGGGCAACTGGTGGGTGTCCGCGCTGGCTACGCGCTCGGGGCCGGAGTGGATCAATTATCCCATGGGGCGCGAGATGGTCATAA